ATCAGTCTTTCTTTCTCTAATGCCTTCAGTGGTGACATGCCACACCTTCCCTAAGCAACCTGTCCCATCAACCAACTGTTCTTATAATTACAAGAGCTTTTCTAATATCCATTATTAACTCTGTTTAGTGTTAGAGACACAGAGACCCTGACTGAGATATTAGAATGTACTAGCTACAGTGTTTCTGGCCAGACGCTCTCTCAAACAGCATACAGAGAAGAGCTACTGGACTGTGCTCCATTATCTTTGCCAACAAACAGAGAAGAAAATTGGCTGAGAGCAAGGTAGGAAGGAAAAGAAGATATTAGCACAGGCACAGCAATAAATAAAAAAGTCAGCTGTCACAAACAGTCCACACAAACATGACCTCCTGCTGTTTCCCCACCAGAAGAAAACACCTTAATCTAAGAGTCAATAAGTGTTCAAATGCTGAGCAGTAGAGGACTGCAGGTTAAGTTATTTTCCACCTGTGTTCAGGGTTTCTTTCTCTTTTTCTCTGGCTTTTCCTTTTTTTAAAAATGGCCAACCAGCACTTTCTCCTATACAACATATTATTTCAGCTGAAAAAGAAGCTCCTCCTCTCTTGGCTGCACAAGCTAGTAGTAAAGAGGGACGTTTTTGTTTACTAACTCTCCCACATGCTCGGCTGACACGCGATTCTCCTTCCTCCTCAGTCTATTACGACTTTTTCTTTCCCTTCATTCCTCAGGAGGCTCTTGGTGCCACAGCAACAACACACACTTTCTTGCCTGAGGAAAAGGGAGGGGATGGCCAAATCTCTCTCTCTCTTTTTGGTCACAGCTTTTATTTTTTTCCTTGGGGCATTCTTGGACACATTTCCCAGACAAAGACATCTGATACCTACACTCCCCAGATGGAAAGGGTCAAGTTACAACCAGTTCTACAGCTTCTCTTCAGAACTAGGGTGGGAGGGGGATTGTTAACCTTTACTATGCTGCGTAGAGTTTGCTAAACCAGGAATATAGATAGATATTTAAGGTCCGCTGTATCTAGCAGTAGCGGGGAAATGTCCAAAGTATGTGCGTGGGGGGGAGGAAGATAAAGAATCTCTAACCCACCCATCAGATAATCTTTATACATGCATACAAAACCACCAGACAGTCTGACGGATAGCTTTAAGTGCTCTGCTTAATCTTTCTATCACATTGCCTTTGGCAAGCCTGCTCTTTGATGACAAAATATATCAAAGGCTGCACTCCTTTATCTAAAGCCTCCAAACTTTGCTCAACTACAGCCACACTCCAGAAATGTAAGAAGTAGCAAAGGGAGGGGTAAAGTGTGATATGAGACAAGACTCTCAGATAGGCAATGAATTACCAGCTTCTGAATGCTCATCAGACTCAAAGGACTCTGTGCATCCTATCCTGTCTATCAATCTTGAGTCTGTACACATTGTGTCGACTACCACAGAATTCCTCCAGGATATTTATTTTAAAAAATATTTATAGCCCTCCCTTTCCTCATGGCCGAAGGTGGCTTACAACTCAGTCAAGAACATAACAATTTTAAACCCCAGATGATCCCTCCCGAGAAGATGCCTGCAGTCAGGGCTTTTTTTGTGGTGGTCCGCACCAGTACTGAGCGCCTGCACTTTTTAGTCCTGAGCGAAGAATTTTGGTGAAAATATGACTACTGGCAGAAAGGAAGGAAGGAAGGAAGGAAGGAAGGAAGGAAGGAAGGAAGGAAGGAAGGAAGGAAGGAAGGAAGGAAGGAAGGAAGGAAGAAAGAAAGAAAGAAAGAAAGAAAGAAAGAAAGAAAGAAAGAAAGAAAGAAAGAAAGAAAGAAAGAAAGAAAGAAAGAAAGAAAGAAAGACCTGCAGTTAAAAGCCCTGGCTAATAAAATCGCCTTACAGCATCTCCTGAAAATTTTTAAAGATAGTGCCCTCTTCACCTCCTTAGGTCCCTGTTCCACAAAGCAGAGACAACAATAGTGAAGCCATAGGCTCTGGTTGATGCCCAGTGGGCTACCATAAGTGGAAGAACAGCCTCTGCCTAAAGCTGCATAATGTCCAACTCAGTTCAACTCAAAATATATGAACAGTGAGGCAATGCAAATTCTGCACCTTGCTGTCCATTAAATAGCTTGAATGAATTCCGTATCTCGCGTAAATAGCTCAAATGAATTTTTTATCCTACATAAATACATTTATATCACGAAGTGTAGATTTCCTTTTCAGAGAGTCTGATATGCTTAGTTATAGAACTCCTTGGCCCCTGACCAAAGCTTTGTCCTCACAACACAACATACACTCAGCTTGAGAAGAGAAGCAGAACTTACAGCGACGATAAGCCCCAACTTTTGAGTCCAGTGGCACCTTTAAAACCAACAAACTACCACTGAACTCAAACTTTGTTCTATTGCTTCAGACCAATGCGGCTACACAGCTCAAGCCCCAGCATGTAATTCTTCTTGGCTGGGATGAAAAACTGCCCAAGCCAAGACAGGATCAGTTTGGGGATGTTAAAACAAACTTGTTTTAATGAGCTTGGGCTTTGAACACATGAATCCACCTTATATTGAATCAGACCCTTGGGTCTACCAAGTTTAGTACTGTCCACTCAGACTGGCAGTGGCTCTCCAGAGTCTCAGGCACAGAGGTCTTTCACATCACCTGATACCTGGTCCTTTTAACTGGAGATGCTGGAGGTTGAACCTATGACCTTTTGCATGTAAAGTAGATGCTGAGCCACAGTTCCTCCCACACCCTTTCCCCCAAAGGATCCTGGGAAATTTAGTTTTTGGATACTGCTGAGAACTCTGTTTAAAGATATATGTTTTAGTTATTTAACAGATTTTAAATGTTGCTTTTCCAAGGTCAAAGAAGTAGCTTACAAAATAAAATAATTAAAACTACAAAAATATCAGAAAGGAAACTCTAAAATGAGATAAGATATTATTCACCACATTTTCTGACAAAAACTATCTAGTGCCTAGTTTGCTAAACTAAAGTTCATAAGAATATTTTATACAGGCAAGTGAGCTTCGCCACTGTAATAGTGAGGATAGCTTCCAAAAAAGTAGGGAATGACAGACACAGTTGGAAGGATATTGCAAGGGTGATTTCACCTCCTCTCAGCCTACAGTGGTAAAGTGGAGTCAGAAGTTCAGGATCTTAAGTTTGTGCCTTTGATTTATAATTTGTCTTAAACAGGCAGAAAACTTGAAGGTGAAAACTTCTCACAGCTGGGCATGCAGGTACATTTTCTTATGGAGACATTTACAAAAAAAGTGTGACAACAACTACACCTAAATAGAGAGTTAGGTCCAGAAACATCTTGGGAAGATGGAAGTACTGTCCCCTACCTAATATGTTTTAATGTATACAAATCCAACACAAAATAGAAAGGAACAGATGAAGAATTGGAACAAACAGAGGTTCTGGGCACAGCTAACATTCTGTTGGTTCTTGGGAGCCTTTTGTTGTTGCTGTTGTTATGAATACTCTGCCTTTCAACATTTTTCTCCCAAAGCAGCTTGCAGAACATGTACATAACACAGAAATTAATGGAGGCCTCTGGTTGTTTGGGGTCTTTCCTTCTTGCTCTGCAGGGTGGTTGGAGGCTGAAGAAATCTGAGGATTAAGGGCCTACATCTCCTCAGAGATGCTCAAGTTGGTGGGACAGAGAAGAATCCTGTGGGTATGAACCAAGGAAGCAGGGAAGGAGTCAGATAAGATGGCAGAGGGGGACATAAAGACAGGTCTTTGCCATTCTCACTCTTTTTGTTCCCTGTTAAATTTCTTGTTTACAATGTGAGCTGCTGGAGTAGGAAACAGCCTTGTTTATATCTGCACTAGCAAAATGACCATGGGGGGGCAAGGCCATGTAATCCAGGATTCCTGTAGGAAGGCACAGTACATCTTTGTATGCACAATTTCACTCAGTGCAACCACTCAGCATTGTGGGGGAAGGGGACCCAACATTTTATGAAACATTGTGAACAAATGCCACAGTTTACCTTTCTCCTTATGAGTGACTGGTAGCTATTTACATAACATAAGTAGAAGAAAGTAAAAGCTTGTAGTGAACGATACCACTGGGTGACCCACAGTTTGTTAGGAAGCGTAGGATATGCACCTCTTCTTCAGTGGTTTTGCTGATTTTTATGGGACAAAGTCAACACTTAGCAACAGCCTCCTACAAATAGCCTGCTCCAACTGCAAAACCCGTTCTGGGATTTTTTGATCATGTGACAGACCACACCTTGTGACTCTGACATAGGAAGGAGCAAACATTTTTTTAAAAACTATAAATGAACATCAGACACAGATTAAACATGACTCAGGCCCCGGTCACACGGGCTGGAAAATGCGGGGGGGGGGAGTGTGGCTGTTTGCCCCAGGGCAAACTAATGCGCGACTGCACGATCAGACGTTCGGTTGAGGTCTCATCGAGGTCCCATGGCTGGGGGGAGGTGCCGATCACACGACAGGCAAAGAAGCGGGGCGGCAAACGGGGTTGTGTTGGGGTTTTTTACTTTTAAAAACTGAAGTGTGCGCATGCTCCATTGGGTGCTTGTGCGCATCCGTGGAGCCTTGGGAAAAAAATGACCTGTTTGCGAGGGGACATGGGCGGGCGCTGGATGCCACCAGAAACGCAATCAGACGCCCGCCCTTGCCCCGCAGTTTCCGGAAACTAGTACCTCGGAGGTACTAGTTTTTTGCCCTGGATCTTCGGCGGAAAGCCTCGGGTGAGCCACGGGAGCTCTACACTTCCCAGATGTGGCGGTGTGATCGCGCCTGGAAAATCCGCCTATCTTCCGTCTCTGTAGCATGGCTAATGCTCCGTGTGACCGCAGCCTCAGAAAAGTATCCCAGTTTGATCTAACTGTACATTATTACCAATAAAACTTTGATTATAACCTGTAAAGAAGAAGTGAAACAGGCAGGTGATACAGGTGTTCCCAAGGAATAACAGACTGCGACTTACCACCCTTGCCTCCTCATCCCCATTACTTCCTTTGCCCCAAAGACAGCCTACCCTCTGTAGGTGAAGCCTATGGAACTGGTCTGCAATACACTGTAACTTCCGAGCAATCTGAACTTCAGTATGCAGTTCTTCTGGGTTTTCCTGAGGTTCCTCCTGGAGGTGTGGATTCAATGAGAAACCAGTTGGGTTGACATGTAAACGGTACCCAGCATTCCCTGCCAAATATCAGAGAAGAATCAAGGACTTGCAACTTCTCAGCATGAAATGCATAGTGTTCCTGCCATATTTAACATACTATAAGAAAGACAGGTTAAAGGTGTCATAAAGTATCATACTACGGATAGCCAGGATGACTTGGATTCACATTTTCCCCTGAAAAGAACAATTTTTATACGAATTAAGCATAGTAGTCGCAGCTAACTCCCAGTCTGATAATTTATTATTAACAGGCTAATAATAAGTTGTTGTTATTATTCCCCAGGATACTTTATTACTCTCTAAGCACAGCTGTAGTTACAGGGCCTCTGTCACAGATCCTGGCTGCTACCTCATCATCCAGCAAGCACTGGCCCTCACCTCTAGTGCTGCCGGGGTTCCTGTCCCCCACCACACCATTTTTACGCTTCCACCTGGGTCTCTGCCCAACAGGGTGCCATCAAGGTGGCTTTCAGGATTGTAACCCCACAGCAATTTTAAAAGAAGAAAAATCCCAGCCTTAAAATGGCAGCACAGCCCACATTGCAGACACGGGGATGCACTCACATCTAGTTGAGCTCCAACAAAAATGGTAAGAAAGCCATAGCATAAGACATCAACTATTATGCCTACTTATTTTTATCTACATGAAACAGAAACAGTAATCGCCTTGGGGGTTTGAGTTAGGCACTGTGTGATCAAGATTCATTTCGAAATCTATTTGTTTGTTGCTTTGATTATTTGATTGCATACAGGACTATCAGCTGATTAAATACATTTTAGTTGATGATAATTTGGCCATTTAATTGCATAAATTGACTGAATCTGCACATGAATAAAACAATAGTCCATAAGAAAATAATGTTCTCTTTTTGTTTTCAGATGCTACATGGGTCAGAGCAAGCACCATCTTAGAAGTAGCATTCTATCTGGTGAGAGAGAAAAAGAATGCCCTTTTGAAGACAGTACCTTTTACCCATGGTTTTGTAAATACTTGCATCGCTCTTTTTAAAACCTCCTGAACAATATAGTCGAAATATTTTTAGCCTATCAGTGTAAAGATACAGTTCTGTGCACAGTTACCTAGGGGGAAGACCCATTAAACACAGTATAATTTACTTCTGAGTAAGCATGCACAAGAATGCACTGTGCTGCAGCCCCATTTGCTGTGCATTGCTGAGGGAGGTAGAAAACAGAGTGACTTGTAGAATCGAATAACTAAGAATAAGACGGTGAATGAGAGGTACTGATCACGGGGGTGGGGGGGATCAACAAAATATAAAGTCACCTCTATAAATCCAAATGAAACACTCATGCAAAGTTAATGACACCAATTCCCGACCAAAAAAAGTATATGATGCCCTATTTTCATTTCTGAGCATGTGTGTATACAGACAGTTTCCCTGTTGCATGTGTGTATATGATAGATCTCCTCTAGGAACCAACCCATCTGTACCACCTTGCTCTGGTAGGATTACTGATTAAAATTTCAAGGCAGGCTTTTCCCCACCTTGAGAAAATCATTAAAATGAGATTCATACATGTTCATTAGATATGCTAGAGAACTTATCTCACACACACCCCAATCACTGGACTAGGAAATGCATAAATCTCTAGCAGGACATGCCTACACAGATCCAAGTTCCATGAAGGGGAGGAGCCTTCTTGTTTAGGACAGCAGGAAGAAGTGTGAGTTTTCTGGGTTCTGAAATTCTTGTTTTTTAAAACCCAGTGTCATGATTTCTGATGTAGCACTGACTATGTAGATATCTATAGATCCTCCCGCGGAGTGACCTGGACTGCACAGGGTATGTGGGAAACAGACACTGAGGAAACTATTTTTCTTCTGAAAAATAGGCTGATATTCAAAAATGCCACAGATGCTAAGGGGAAATTTCTTCAGGGTAAGGGGAGCATTCTTACCATAAAAAAGTCTCTGTGGCTGTTCAGTCACTCCACAAGGTAACATGACATCCTGGCTGGAAGAGGATGGACTGAGTGTTTGTGTAGCCTTGTCTTGCTGCTTGGCATGCCTGGTTCCTGGACCACAACAGTGTGTTAGTGGGAAGAGCTGGAACCTCCCCAGCAGACAGCTATAAGACTGGCTCTGTGTGAAAATGCCAGGAAAGGTAATTTCACTGGGCTGACTGGCAAGTCCACAGTCCTCAGAGTGGAACACATCATCATCCAGCCCATCGAGGTTAGAGAAGTCATCCTCCAGGTAGCCTGGTGGATCCATTTCACCTGCAATTGAAAAAATATAGACAAGACATCTCTGGATAAGAGCATAAAATATACAGCAGATGATATATGGCAGGGACCCCAATTTTGTTGAGACTATGGGCTGGCTTAGAATTTTGAGAACAAGGAATGGGTGACACTGCAAAATGGTTGCCATGGAAGGCCAGTGTCAATCAGAAAGTGGCTGCTCTGGGGTACTGGGGCCAATTGCAAAATGTCGGGAATTGAAAAATGTTGCAGGCCAAGCATCCTTGTACCATTAAGTCAGTTGTTTCTATGTTCTCCTGCTCCAGTGAGGGGGAAGAAAGTTAGGAATGACCCTTTGATTTATGGGAGAAAAAAATGAGCACTGGGAACCCACTGGAGGGTGCCATGATGGTGCCCACAGCCACAGGCACCACATTAGAGATCACTGCTCCATGGTTTCATTCCCTCCTTTTCCACAAAGCAGCCTGTGAATTCGGCCCCAGAAGAACCCAAGTTAACCATGATGCAGACTTCAATGATGAAGATCAGTTAGTTGAGCTTTACTTCTCCTTAACAAGGAACTCTGAACAAGATGGGTAAACAAAACGCCCTCTAAGCTTCAAACTAATTAATCATAAGAAGCAGTCTAAGAAAAAGAAAAATCTTGGAGGAAGAATATTTATTTTGGAATCCAAAGACCATTTTAGCTTGACACAAAGTGCATGCTTCCTTCACCAGGATTGTCTTTATCCAGCAGTTAAGATCCTGAGCTCTCTATAACACTGGGAGGATAATCAAACACACAAAGCAAAATATTTAAGAGTTTGGTCAAGTCTCACAGAATTATCTGTACCACAGTTACTGGGACTTGTTCAGAACTGTAAGTTGTATTAGGTGCTATGATCCAGTAGCTAACACACTGCTGTTGCTCATGTACAGTTAGCCCAAAACATTTTAGTGCTTCTTAATTAAACTGATCAGCAGCCAAAGATGTCACACAAGGTACCCCTAACTTTCTCATAGCAGCCCCGGGGGGCCTGGGATTCAAGCAATTTCTGTAGGGTTTTTTTTTTAAATTAATATTTTATTATTTTCCACGTAACATGTTTGCAACAGAAATCTCATACATTTTGAAACGTTATACATACTATTTCTGTATGTTGAAGTTCGATATGGTCGAGTGGTGCTCTCAATTCCCAAAACAAAATGCCACAAGGCCCATCACCCTGTTACTCATCAACAACACTCTCCTTTCATTATTCATCATTACATTTGGCCCTGCAAATGACCCAGCTTCATACGATGAACATGCACCACAGGTTTATTATGGAATCTAGGCAAATTCATATTCTATATATGTTGACCACAGTAAACCATATTTCCTGCATGGTATTGGGGTAGTGGGGGAAATTATTTGGGAAGTTTGGAATCACGCATGAACAAAAAGCCTTCCCTAGTTGATAGATTCTTCTGAGTTCATTTTTTCAAAACTTCAAAAGACTTACATATGGCTTTCTGTAGAATCCAGCGCTGCTACTTCCACTTGCAAATGCCCAAAGGTCTGCTCGTAAAAGGTTCTCTGCGTTTCATTTGACTCCCTGATAAAACTTGTGTTTTAACACCAAGACAAAAGATGTAGCCAAACCTATCAGATTCACCTAGGGACAGCAATAATGTAATTGCTCCATATTCAAACTTGCTTAACCACAGAACACATCTGACAAGCCTCTTTTGAGAGAGAGAAAAAAGATCTTCTGCAGTGCTAATTTATGGAACTATTTGAGGTTTTAAAAAACTCTAACTAGACAATGGTGGCACACAGAGAAGTCTCAGTGATTATCTTAGCTCATGTATAGTATATATGGGAGAAGCCTTATCCCTATGGGTATCGCAGGTTTACAGAATTCTGAATTTATCCCTGACCCAAGCTACCAGCAATGTAACTCACAAAGAATGTGTTGCATGTTCCTGGTGCTGAGCACATGACAGTAGTACTGCCACATTCTGGATCAACTGAAGTTTCCAGACCATCTTCAAAGGCAGCCCTGCATATTATATTATAATAATCAGTTTGAGGAGTTTACTGTATTTTGCATTACTGTAGTCAGACATTTAGTCCACAGCTATTAATCAAAGCTGATAAAAGACCCACCTGGTCACTACTGTCAGTTGAACAACCAAATCCGGGACTGAGTCCAAAATTATTTCCAGACCTTAAAGCCTTTTCTTGGGGTATGGAGTGCTATCTATGATTTACATTTCTTCTCAACTCAACTCCCCCCCCCCCATTTGCATCTCCAAGCTGCCTGGATCAAGCATCTGTTTATTCATCCTCATCTGATCCCTTACTGATCTCCAGCACTCATTCAAGGAGGCCATTAGCAGACCAGACAGAAAAAGGATACCACATCCCACTCTTTCTCTGTTCATGGTCAGGTGTGGTGGTGGCTGCCTTGAATGAGCGAGTGCAGGAGATAAAGCGCTGGATCTATAATTACCAAGATCAAAAATGGATTTTTCAACATGGGTCTTACAACCAATTCCTTAAGGGATAGACTTTAATCCTTCCTATAACCACTTGTTAGTGATTTCCCAAATCCTCATGGAACTTCCACTGTGAAGAGGCCTCTTCCCTAGCCATTTTTTGGTGTCATGTTCCTGTGGGAGGGACTTTCAGCTGACTGCCCTTTCTAATTTTAGACAGCAGGTTTACAACCTTTAATATTGGTTGTTAAATGTTGCCTTTAACATCTATGTTACTTAACAGTCTGTTTCATTAACGTTTGATTCATTGTTTTATCTTTTTACTGTAAGTTGCTTTGAGTCTTTTTTAGAAAAGCCACTCATAAGTAAGTAAGGCCTTCTGCCATGGAGGATTTTACCACACATGAAATAACAGATGTGTTATAAAAGGCTCAAACAAGTTTACCTAAAAGAAGGAAGCAAGAAGAAAACCACTCATAGCATCCACCAAGATGCCTGACGTTTGGACCAGGGAAGCAAAAGGAACCCAACATGTGAGTAGGCATGAATATACACAGTATCTATAGATTTCTAGTGGAGGTGCCCATCTGTTGATGAAGGTCTGTTTCATACATTTCAGTCCTGTTACATACAGGGATTTAGGCATCAAGTCTGACAGGCAAGATGACTAGAAATCAGACTCCTACAGTTCCTAGTCTGATTACAAAAAGAGAGTAGCCATGTTGGTTTGCAGCAGAGGACCTAGATTCAAGTCCAGTTGCACCTTCAAGACTATCAAGATTTTGAGTCAAGAGCCAAAGTTCTAGCGAAGGGAGCTTTGAACTCTCAAAAGCTTATACCCCCCCCCAATCTTGTTGGTCTCTAGGGTGCTACTGGACCCAACCCTAACGTGATTATGTTTCCTGAAAGATGCAGTCAATTATTAATCAATTCATTAACGGTAGCTAAATTGTCTATGGCAGTTCACTGGGAGGAAAGTGGAATCCCCTTTGAATTGGAGTGGTTCAATCAGTGTGGATGGTGCTATTACAGTAGAAAGTTTATTAAAATATATATAAATATTTAAGAGTCAAAGATTAAGAGGCTACCTCTTTGTGGGGTACATTCAAAGACTCAGAAAAATGAGCATGATCAGCACAGATATTGTACCAGATGAAGCTATGATGCAAAAACTAAGCATTGCCCTATATCAAAGATACAGGAGTCTCTCCATGAAATCCTGAACCCATCTCTCTCTCATCTCTATACAAAGCCTACAGTTCAAAAATAAGAAGTTCTTGATAATCTCATCAAAAGCTTAGATAGTGAACAAACATGGTTGCGAAAATGTTTCAGCTGTTTTTAAAAGGCTCATAAAAATGCTTACACATATAAAACACAAATGTCCACAACCATGTGATTGGTCACAGACTGCAAGAACAGACATGGTACTTTTTAAGATAGCCCCTTAAAACCAACAATTAGTCTCCAAATAGTCTCTGTATTACTAGCATAATCTCAGTCTGTGCCAGAGTTGCCTGAAAAAGCAGTGGGGGACTTGTCTGGAGGGGGAGGGCCTTTGGGGATTCTGATAGTGTGACGTCAGCTTCAGGGAAAACATGGAAATGCTGTCATGCCTCTCAAAGAATTGCTATAAACTCTATGGTCAAATGCTTTGTACAGAATTTCTGGTGGTTCTTTGAGAGGACTGGCATCATACCATTGCCGGAGGGAGATTTTTTAAGATTAATTTTCCCCTGTTGCCTGCAGTGGCAAAAAATAGAAGCCAAGGGATCCTAGCACACGGATGTCTCCAGGTGCCAGACAAGTAAGTGAAATTCAATCCTGGGGTCATTTGATTTGTTCTGATTTATGCAATATAATAATAATCTATCAAAAGTCTGGACTAAATCTAGATAATTAAGGGATACCTGCACTATAAAATAAAGTCCCAGACCTATATGATGCATTTGTATTCGTTCAAATGATTAATTTCAGCTGTAACTGGCTATGTGTTTGTTATTTACGGCCATGAAACATCAGTGTATGTATTGTATGTAAATATATTATGTGTATGTAAATACACAGTGTATGCAAATATATTATTTATTTACTTTATTTATAGCCCGTCTTTCTCATTGAGACTCAAGGTAGATTATACAGTATAAAACACAAAGTAGCAATCAAATAGCGTGAGACATCCAACGAACAATGTAATAGGAATAAGACCCCAAAACTAGTAGCAGTGAAAGAAAAGGATCAGACATGATATGTCACACACAGTGCAAAGAACTGGAATTACAAAAGTAGAAAACAATGCAATAAGAGGAAGATAATACATACGACAAACAGTGGAAGAGGCTACAGTCCTGTTCCCTTTGTAAAAGTGCTCTCTTAAATCATTCCATTATACTATAGCCCTATTCCCTTTATAGAATTGCCCTCCCAAAAAATCCTGTTTTATATGGTTTGTGAAACAACAGCAGTATGAGAGCCCTCCTGACCTCCTCAGACACTTTTACCGGTTTTTAGGGAGCAACATTCAGAAGCAACAGGTCTGTAGGAAGCAACAT